TCAAATACAAACTATGTAATTGTTACAAATCCTACAAACCTTGGTTTATTGTGAATCTTAGAGGCGATTATCAAATGCGGATGAGAGTAACTATAAGAACCGATTTAATCCACACTGTTGATTGTGTATATGTACTGTTGGTATCAGTTTGTAAAAATTCATAGTTTGTATTTGAATCTATATACAAGGTTGGGTTCGGGAGAGATATGAAGTTATGATGAGAAGCATAAGAAAAGATTTTCACTCTTGGATCATTCCTAATTGAATGCCAATACTAATAAGACGCACCAAGATGCATCAGATCAAATCCATTCTAAAGGCAATTTATGGATGGGTATGAGATTAAAAGTGATCAACGGTTCATATATCTTTTTACGCTTCTTGCTATAACTTTTCTTATCACATGTTCCTTAGTGTGAAAAGCATATAAGAAGGGACTTAATATATGCATCTCGGTGCACCTTATTAGTTTGATATTCAGTTAGGATTAATTTAATGGTGGAAATATCTTTTCACACCATTCATCATAACTTTCCTTTTTAACGGAATTCAATAATATATATATATATATATATATATGTTAGATTCTGTTATGTTAGAATGGTTAAATTATAACAATACTGTTTAATGTTGTTCCACCTTTTGATAGAATAAAAAAAATTAGTTTTATCACATGAAATTTCGTTTTTAAACGGTTTTACAAATTTATTTTGTCAAAGTTGATACGTTATCCAACTTTTTTGATATATATATATATATATATATATACTAGGTTCGAACTCGTGTATTATACGGGGTAATTTTAAAAAATTAATCATTCAGAAAACTTATTTTACATATATGAATGATCATCGAAAGTGATGAGATGATGAAAATCAGTCTGTTTTCGTTAGATCCGTGAGATCATTTTTTTACACTTGAAACTTCACAAAAAAATGTTGTGAAGGTGAAAAAGGTCGAACATTCACAACAAAAACACTGTAAAAGTTACCTTCGCAGCGTTTTGTTGAAAAATTTCAAGTGTAAAAAAGTGGTATCACGAGTCTCGTAAAAATGTATTGGTCTCACATAATTCAACGTCTATATATATATTTTATTAATAATTTATGATTATTAAGTAAATCAAAACAATATAATAAAAATAAGTATATAAGTTATAAATATCCTATATATTAGTAAAAAATATTATACAATATAATATATTTTGCTTTATGAGATTTTTCTTAACCGATTTCGATACTATAATATTAATTTTATGCCCGCTAAGCAGACATATTGTAACGAAATCAGGATAGAACTCACGCACGACACACACACAGAGCGATATGGCGTGGGCCTGTTCGCGCCATTGGAGCAGCATCAGGACTCCGACGGTGGCTTCCGCCACTATTCCAAAGGAAACCGTCAATTCAAGGGTTCTGGTACTCGGAGGAACCGGTAGAGTCGGTGGCTCTGCCGCCATCGCTCTCTCTAATCTATCGCCTGACCTCCACATCATCGTTGCTGGTCGTAACAGGTTTTGCTCCTTTCTAAATTAGATTCCATAAAAGCTGTTAACAACTCTTCTTAAATTTTACAACAGCGTAACAATGTATATATCGTGTAGAACGAATTTAGCTGCTAGCAGAATCCAGATAACGTGTGTGTGTAAGAGAGAGATTATTTACATAGAAATTATTCGTCTAATTAATGTAGTGTTGGTTTCTTTATCAATTAATTACATTTTAGGTTCTTTTGTTCTTGTTTGGATGTGGTAGAATTTACTGAAGCAAAGAAAAAAGCAATTGAATCAGTTATGTAGTGGTGATATCTATTATTTTGTAATGATAGCGCAGTAGAAAATTTTAAGATATGCGCCCCCTCGGTGCACTTATGAAGTTCTAGATTTGGTAATTCAGAAGCATTACTTTCATATACCTCAAGTAACAAAAATATGAAGGTATGTGTACAATAAATAACAAGAAAAGCTTCTCACTTGTATAGAAATTTGGTATCCAAAAAGTAAACATGTTTTACCACTGATTTTAAATTTTTAAGGACAAATGATCTTTTCCCATCTCAGATACCATGGCGGTGTTTTAAAGGCTGTACATAACATTACCACGTATTATTGCTAAAAACAAGCTATATACAACATTATCCCATATTTAATGCTATCGTTTAACCACACATAATATTAGCACACCATTAGAAATCATAACCACCTGTGGTTACCATGGCTGTGTTTGAAAAGCCTGTCCACTTACATATGTCGAAGGGAACACATTTCTGCTAGTATCATACTGAAGACAATGTAGCATCTTATCTTCTCATGACATTTAAACGGTAACATTTACATCTTTCACCTATATCATTACTATTGTTGGAACAATAAGCACCACTAGTATGTAATGTCTTTGCAGTGAGAAGTAATTACCATAGAAAATCACATCAGTGTGCTTTTTATAAATATATAGAACATTGCATCGGATGAAATTTCTGTGTTCGAAATGGCCTTAAAAGCATTTTGCTTAACATCTTTTACTTCCATAAGCCATATGCTGAATACTCTTATGTGTTATGTGATAGGGAAAAAGGTGCTAGTATGGTGGCCACACTTGGGAAGAACGCTGAGTTTGCTGAATTTGATATAAATGATGTTCAATCACTGGAATCTGCTTTGACTGGTGTGTTAGTACTTTAAAAATATATGCAGAATTGCATTGTTTTCTACTTGATATTAATCATCAATGGAATTGTGTTTATTTTCTTGTGGGTTCTGCATGGTATGGTCTTTTCTAATGTATGAGTACTTCATTTGCTATCGTGGTTAGTAAATAAGTGAGAGAGTTTAATGAATTTCCTTTTATTTCTACACTCTATACTATCCTGCTACTACTTTTATTGTCGGTGACTTCTAGTTCTAGTGCTAGTCCAGATCATGTCTTGTCTTGTTTTTCTCCAACTTGCTTCATACTTATGATGATAGCATTCATAATCTTCATGTTGCCTGCCTTTTCTGTTAAAGATAACTTTAAGTCAGATGCAGGAGAAACTTATAGGATAGATAATTTATTTTTTGAAGACTCATGAAACCACACCTGAGGGCTGACTTTTGTGTCCCACCCATTGATGCACCCTTTGGTAATTCACTGCTCAATACACAACGGTGGGACTTGAAAGCATGGCTGGCCTTCACATATTCTCCAAATGTTCTTTACTATGCCTTCAAATATAAAGTAGACAATGTAAAATGTTCAATGTAATTTGGGCCTCATATTGGATTTTCATATTTTTTGTCAACAAGAACATGAAGGGAATTTATCCCTACACCTATGGTGAGACACTGAAACTACCCCATTTTCTTAAAGATGTTTTTGATGAACAAGCACTGTTGAAGCTTATAAACCCATTTTTGGGCTTGTGGAGGGAGGGAAAACTGCCTTCCCAATGGAAATGTTGTGCTCCTATTACATACCTACACTAGATGCTAACCGACCCTTCATCCAATAGAGGCTGTTCATTTGTATTCCCAGTATAAAACATATGCATTACAAATTAGTATCATTTCATGCTATCAAGTTATACTTAATAAAAGTAGACTACAACATAAGAGATACATCTTGGTCTTTTTTGTTTATATCAGCAAAAAGATGGGGGCGATGCTGTAACCTGTGATTTATATCTTTTTCTTGTTAAGCACTAGTAACTATGTCTAGTATTCTGTCTCTAACAGTTTAAAATTTACTGTCATATAAAATATTCTATGTTTGCAGATGTCGATCTTGTGGTACATGCTGCAGGGCCGTTCCAACAGACGGATAATTGCAGAGTCCTGGAAGCTGCCATACGGGCCAAGGTGAGAACAAGGTAAAGCTAATTCCAAGCTTTCTTGATTTTTTAGTGATCAATGGTTTTCAAAGTTATATGTAGCACAGATTATGTTCATAGAAAGTAATATAACTTCACTAATCTTCATCTGTTATCAGACAGCGTATCTTGATGTGTGCGATGATACAAATTATGCCTTGCGTGCAAAAGCATTTATGAATGAAGCATTGGCTGCAAAAGTTCCAGCAATAACTACTGGTGGGATCTATCCAGGAGTGAGCAATGGTACAAACCTTATTCCAGGACACCTACATGTTCTTGTTAAAATTTACTTGAATAATTGAAAATGCTATTTTTTCATAAAACTTAAATTAATTTTAGATATATAACCAGGATTAAATTTTGAGACTGTTTCCAACTATACACTAAAGGTGATCAAGAGTCACAAGTGTAATTATGAATCTTGATTGTGGCGTTGAGAAATATTTTCATAATCATTCCATTGTTGTCACACACATCTATTTTGGGGATATATAATGTCTTGGGCTTGTGCTTGCTGAATTAAAATGCCCAATTTTTTTTTGTCATCACTGATATTGTTATTATTTGTACCTAGCTCCTTAATTTGGCGAGAAATAGAGCTGAAGGTAACATATGAAATATAAGCCCCTTTATTTAGCAAGAATACTGAAGTCAAAATATGAAAGACTGGGGAGGGATCTTCATTTTTGAGTGTGTCGTTTCATTGTTTGTGTCTAATTGTGCAATTCCATGGTGGAAACTGGAAAAAAGTATTCTTCCTGTTACTGTTCTTTTTCTTATCTACATTGTATATTGACATTATCATTTATCTACTTATCTTGACAGTGATGGCAGCAGAGCTAGTACGTGTTGCCAAAAGTGAAAATGACGATGAGCCTGAACGGCTGAGGTATTCACCTGCTCCACATTTTATGCCATTTGTTGGTTTCTTTCTTTGCCAAGTTCATTTTTCCTATCATACTAACTCTGTCCATGCAGAGTTCGATGGCTTAGCTGGCTATTTTGTTTTTATTTCCTCACACCTTCAGAATTTTCATTTGTTTCAGGCTCTTTGCAATCTTTCCTAAACCTCCATCTGTAATAATACTTGATTAAGTTATGTATTTTGCAAAACTGTGGCTTCTAGCTTGGCTTTCCATTTTTTTGGGTACAATTGAATGTCAATTGGTACAGTTGATTGGTGTGCCCACAACATGGTTACTTACAGGATGAAAATTTACTCTAATGTGCTTAGCTTTCTCATGACTTAATTTTGCAACACTTGAATAATTCAGTTATTATGCTAAATGCAAAGGAAAAGGTGTAAACAATGACTTCCTTCCCCACCCCTTGCTAAGCAAACGAGCGTTAGTTCACTGTGGTCACCCTATGTTCTTTTATGATCAGCAAAGCATGTTAAAAATGTCTTCAATAAGACTCGAAGTGATGCCATCCAGGTTTTGGGTTTGGTACCTTTGGGCCAAAGCTCACTTGGTGATTAAGTTATAGTGTTTTTGTTTTTCATATATTGTCTCAGAAATGTATGGTAGACTTGGGCGTTGTACAATTCCAATGTAAACCTTTACCAAATATTATATAATGATACGCTTGTCTCAGATTCTACTACTACACAGCAGGAACTGGTGGTGCTGGCCCAACAATATTAGCCACTAGCTTTTTACTTCTGGGCGAGGAGGCTATTGCATATAATAAAGGTCCGTTTAAAAGGGAACTTGTAAAATTATGTGTTCCTCTATATGCTTCTCTTCCTAATATTATCCATGTTTCATGATGCTAACCAGTAAGCAACTATTTTCATAGGAGAAAAAATCAAAGTAAGGCCATATAGTGGGATGGTCAACATTGACTTTGGAAAAGGAATTGGGAAGAAAGATGTGTATCTCTTGTAAGTTTTATATTTCACCCTTCATATCTATCAGCAAAACCGCCACACATATGGCTACATCAATGGAGCCATGAACCCTGCAAGGACCATATATCATTATGTTTGCAATTTGAGATCTTACGAACATTCCAATGTTATACTAAACTGAAGATACGATGTTACTTTCATGTCCAACATTAAATTTGCAGATTCAAAACTTGATTATAAATTTTAAAGTTCTTTTCAGAAAAGTTTGGGAACAATGTTAGTGCTAAGAAAATGAAGTGCGGGTGTATACTGTATCCCCGTATCAATTTTGAATCTGCAAAGTAATAGGTCCGCTCTCTTTGAATCTTAAACTGTATTGTTTGGGAATGATTATTTGCACATTCAATGTTTGATTTTCACAATCAGTTTATTATTAGAATTTTGTACACAAACCTGAGACTAAACAGTATTTACTGTTTTGTGTTGGGAATGATGTAATTACTTGACAGCATGAACATTTTATGCATACACAACATGATGTTTGACCAACTACCAAATCTTGGTTCCCTATTGCCACACCACAAGCTAAAGTAAAAATGATTAGATTGAATATGCCACTAAAAGGAAGAGAGAATGAGCGTTAGTTCCCAAATAATAAAGGGGAAGATATATAAAAATAGTGAAAAAAGAAGTTTTGCAGAACCTTATGCAAGGGCCCAGTCATGTTCCACGGTATTAGTTCCTTCTTCCATGAAATCATGTTGGGCTGAAGCAGTTTCACTCTCACTCATCTACGGCATTCAATTATGGAAATTCCATCAACTTTATAGCTGACAGATGCACTCTAATGATATCAAACAGCCTCACTTCATGTATGATAACCAATTTAAGAAAAAGTGCAGAAGCAAACTAGCCTGACACCTGAATTTCCTATTACAAAAAGAAAGGAAAATAGAAAAAAGTTACACAAGAGTCTAGTTTATTCAGATAGTACTGTGGATGTATAAGACTGGAGTGTAGAATACATGACCAGTAAACCAACTTAACTTGGATAGTTAATATTGCATAAGAAACCAAGGAGAAGTAGGTTTGTTGAAGGTTGTAAAGTTGACTGGAGCCGGTTATGAGGTTTTATAGATTCGTTATATCCTCTTCTTGGTACTAGTCTCCTTTACTAGCTGGTGCATTCAAATTTCAAAGGTCCATGCTGGAGATGGCCAAACCACCTCAAATCGTGCTGCATCGCCTTCTCCTCATCCAGTACGACTCCAACCTTCTCCCATATGTCATAATTTCCAACTTTATCCCCGAGTGCGTGTTACACTTTCATCTCAATGTTCCTTTTCTGCTACTTATTCTCCATATTCCATGCCCTGTAGTACAATTTGAAAAACAACAGTATATAACATTAACATTTAGAACTTGCTTATAACCAAACCTTTTTAAAAACCTTTCTTATAGCCCATTTGGATAAATTATGATGCACTGTTTTGGTTGATTGTTTTGCAGTGCTTTCTACACCTTATTTTGATAGCCAATTAACCAAAATAGCCAATCCCATCAACCAAATTCACTTTTTAGCCACTTCTCAAAGTCTCTTCTCAAAATAGCCAATCTTTACGCAAATGCTTTAAGCATGTGTGTAAAGATTGATTTCTGAGAAAAAAAGGAAAAAAAAAATCCTTACACATACGCTTAAGGATTCTTTAAGCAGAAATTTGAATCCTTATGCAGAAATTTGAATTTTTCAAATTTCTGCAAAAGGATTCAAATTGCGTAAACTTTGGGGAATTCAATTGAAAAAGTGCCTAAAAGTGAAGTTGGTTGGGGAGATTGGCTATTTTGGTCAATTTCCCTCACAAAAAGCTACAATTTTCTTGACACAAGATAAATTTTAGACATGGATGAAAATGAGAACACAAAAATTACATAGCATAGGGAACTTTGACTGGCTCGTTTACATATGAAACCTCCTCTGCTTTCAGGAATTTGCCGGAGGTGACAAGTGCCCATGAAATCCTAGGAGTTCCAACTGTCAGTGCTCGATTTGGAACTGCGCCATTTTTCTGGAACTGGGCAATGGATGCAATGGCACGTTTCGTTCCTCCTGTAAGATGTACATGCAATGATTGCAATCTATTTTTCTACGTCAATATCCATTTACTGCTTGGTATAGCAATCTTGTTACCGTCTGTTAGATTTCATTTCTTGTTCAAGTCTATCTCAGATATTAAACACCGATGATCAATGATTATTTTTGTCTTATAGTCTGTTTTTTTTATTAACCTGGATATCCAATCCGCTATTCGAACCGACTAATCATAGGGCGACCACCCACTTTGCGGGTAGCCCGGAGTCACCGCATTTGAATAGAATTTGGAAACCTCCAGCTTTTGCCCTCCCTCACAAAAACTGTTGTTCAATTATGTACTATAAAACTTCGAGTAGACGTTACTTTCAAAAGGTTCTGACATGCATCTTATATGTTTCCTTGCAATTTCTTAGGAACTCCTAAGAGACAGAAGCAAAGTACAAGAGATGGTTCGGTTATTTGATCCAGTAGTCCGTGCTATAGATGAAATTGCTGGAGAGCGTGTCGCACTGAGAGTAACTTATTTGAAAATCTCTCTTTTAAATCTTCATTCATAAGAGTTTCACAGTGTCAACTTACTTCTTGTAACTTAATGGTTTTTTCCTTTCTTTCTTTTGAGCAGGTTGATTTGGAGTGTGCAGGTGGACGACATACAATTGGTGTTTTCAGTCATAAAAGACTCTCTGTGTAAGTAATATTTTCCCCGAACTTCCCCGTGAAAGAATTAATGGAGAATTATTTTAAAAAACTTGTATCATGTGTACATGAATGCTTTTCAGATCCGTTGGAACTTCAATAGCTGCATTTGCTCTTGCTGTTCTCGAGGGTAGTACACAACCTGGTGTATGGTTTCCAGAAGAGGTACACAACTACACACCACAGGCACATAAACTAGTTCCTGAAAGTGTGGAGCTTTTATGCATTTATTCTTTTCCACTCTTTGTATAGCCTGAAGGGATCGCCATTGAAGCTCGGGAACTACTCCTTGAACGTGCGGCACAAGGGACAATTAGTTTCGTAATGCACAAGTATGATTATTCTCTCCCTTCGTTTTACATTTCCATCTGCCCCTATATACTGAAGTGCTTGGTATTATTCTCACATTATGAAGCCTTGATAAACTTATGTAAGAGCTTTTTGTTAACAACTTGATGAGACTCACAACTTATTCTGTCAACTATACATTACTGTTTGGTTGTGACTTAATGATATAGAAACTAGAAAGTGGTTTATTCAATAAGATTCTAGGAGGAGCTTTATGTCGAAATCAAGTTTTTTCCAAACTTGTCCCTTTCAATTAAAAAACACACTCTTTGCATCTATGGAAAAAACGCTCCCAATATATACAGACATATTAATCCACACGTTCAACTTTAACCATACATTGACTTAATGGAAAAACAAACAAACAGCCAATGTGTTCCTATAGTCTCCCACTTTGAAGTTAATAATCTTAAAGGAAAATTATGAAAAAATGTCAATTTATTGAAGTTTGGAATAACAATTTGGAGAAACCAGTCCCTGTGCTTCACAGACCAAGCTCATAAAGGAGTGATTGGACGGTCTTTAGAAAAGAGTCAGTTGTTTAAAAACCATGGAACTTTGGTCTTAAATCTATTTCCCTTCCATTAACATTCAAAATCCGTATATAAAATCTAGAAACTTAAAGTTGCACTTGTTTTCATCTAATGACCTACTATTTATTTATTAAACGCCTATACATTTTAAAAGAAAAAGGTTAATTGCTAAAAGACCATGGAACTCTAATTCTTAATTTTAGTCCATGAACTTCGAGAAGGCATGATATATATGCGTTTGTGTGTATATACATATACATATACATATTATATATGTACATAAACATGCGTATGCCCATATGTATGTGTTGTATCCAATATCTGCAAAATTACCTTTCTTTCTAATCCAAGGTAATGCCCCTCTATTGACAAGTCCAATATCATGTCAGATTCATATCTTCTTTGATGTACATGAACAACTTTTAGAAGTCACTCACATATGAATTTTTTGTATACAATGAAGTAAGTAGTCTCCTTCTTTGTATACGCAGGGCTCCATGGATGGTGGAAACAAAACCTAAGGAGCTTGGTCTTGGAATATATGTGTAATATCCCAACAGAGGTTGGAGTTTGATCTATGTTTAATATCCCTACAAATTTCTTCAGGTTTACAATATACCACAGCTTGAATTTGTGCCAATAGAGAGTTTCAATGTTCAAAACAACAGTATGCTACTAACACTATGCTATATATTCATCACCACAAGAAAATTATTCATTCATTGAACACATGCCATTCAAAAACATAGAAAAAATTCACTCTTTTGATGGGATTCTATATAAACTCACAACACAATGCCTATATACACATCACACAGTATAATCAAAGGAAGGCTCGAGGTAGTCTATTGCACATAGGTATATCTCACTCAAAAGTAAGATATGAGGGTTGACATGTATGCATACTTGTCCTCTGGTCCAAAGGGTTGAGCAATTGTTTCCATGCCCAACTTGTGTCAAAGTGTGCGAAAAGGAAAGAAGAACCAAGACCGGTAAGAGTTTTGGTCAACTGTCCTTTTGTTTATCAGTATACTTTATGGTGTTAGCAGTTTTACCAACACTATACACACACACACACACAGAGCTTGTCCTCACCAAAACAAAAAGTCATATGCTAGATCTCAACCTTAAGGACTGATAAGAGTTGGGAACTCTTCATTGAACTTCCTTTGTATATCCTTGGAGTCCTTTAGTTCTCCAAAACCATATGCTTTGCATGCTTGACTTGCAGTTTAGCTACAATTTGTTTAACGGTTTGGACTTTTCAAAGCGTTGATGGCAAACTTGTTCAGGAAAACCATTACTAGTACCTGGAATACCTATATGACGAGTCGGGCTTTTCGGAGCCTGTAGACTGGGTATTGACATTGGGTCTCCAAGAATCCTGCCATTCACGCCGGTTTGTACTTTGCTCAAATGCAGAGTTTTGGCCTTCTGCAGCCATTCTTGATGTGTTGCTTCTAGTAAATCTATGGGGTTCATTTCTCATCTCTTCGTCTTGATCATATCGTGACCTCTAGAAAAAAGTTAGCATGAATGTTAAAGAAAAATATCATACAATTTGGGTGGGGGAGGGAGGGGATAGTATGTGTGTGTAGGGGAATAATCAAATGAGAACCACAAAAAGATTGAGAATCCTAAGAACTAGTAATCATGTGTTGTTTCACAATTCATGTGAAAATGCAGTGTTGTTTCACATTGTCATTATTTTTAATGTGTATTTTGTCTCACATTTTGAAGTAACACATTATGTGTGGTTCTCATAGTTGTCAACCTTTTTAGGGATCTCATTTGATTATGCCCCTATATACATATATATGCTTCTCATATCATTTTGAAAGAGAGAACCTTTGAAGGGTTGGAAAGTACAGCATATGCTTCTCCGATCATTTTGAAAAGCCTATCCGCATCTTTGTGGACATTTTCAGCTATTTCCTTCCATAGCCCATCATCTCCATCATCATTTCTACCGAGTGATTGAGCAGCCTACATCAGCAAAACGTGATTGTTAGGGAAGAAGAAACCCAATTTCATAGTCTTGGAACAACACTATTAAATTTCAGAACTTACCTTATCAGGATGATGTCTAAGTGCAGCTTTCCTATATGCCTTTTTGATATCTGCTGCAGAAGCAGTTGATTCAATTCCCCTGTAAGGTTCAAAAGTATACCATTGTTACTTAATAACATAAGTAACCCTATTGGATTTCCAAGGGTCAAGGAGCGTGCCCTCATATACAATATTTCGTTGTTCCCGTGACTCGAACCTATGATCTTTCAAGACCCTTACTAGTTTCTCCAAGGATGTCCTTAACGTTACTCTTTTAGTATCAAACGAACCCAGTGAATCCCACACAGAGTGGGTCTAGGGAGGGTAGGATATAAGCAGACTTTACCTCTACCTCAGACGGTAGAGAGGTGTGAAGATCCCCTACTTATAGGCTCGCTCTTTTAATATTAAAACCATCTTTGAACATCAAGACGTGATATAGCATCAGTTCCTTGCGTTTGGTATGCAGAAGGGGTCAAACCGGCAAGAGTGAGTTAAGCGAAATAATTATGTAGAGTTTTAGGGTTTTAATTTGACAGGGGTAGTTTAGTAATTTACCAATCTTCTCACTGTCTCCGTGATTTATGTTCCACTTGTTCTGGTGGGACAGAAAAAATACATGTGTGACAGTCCGAGTCTAGTGTCGCGTCAAACACAACACAGGACAACAGGTAAACACACCGTAAGTGTGGAGGTCAAAATAACAGGCATCACAGTTGACAGGTAGAATAACGTATTATGCATAGATGTGAATCTGAACTTTGTAACGCTTATCAAAACGAATACTTACAGTATGAGGTACATATTTAACGGAATTCCCTTTCTGGATTCTTCTTCAACATCAGCAAGCCGTGCCTGAGTTTGCTTTAGCTCATTCATATGGCTTATTTTATCAGTTGCTCCACCTTTTTCCTCCACCTGCATTGTTAGAAGAGATACCAGTTTCTGTAGATCTATTGCTGCCTGTCCATAGTCTCTAATCATCTCATACAAGCTGGCTCGTCTAGAAATTGCCTGCATTAGTGTTTTAATAATTAAGCCAATATATATATATATATATATATAATCTGTTTCGACCTCTTGCAAAGTAACAAAGAGAAAATGGTCTCTGAGAAGATGGCAATGATTGTGTTCACGAATGATAGGTGACAAATCGCTGCACAATGCTACGACTGCAATGCAGCATATGCGTTTGTTGCTTTCGGTACGCTTTTGGTGCCACAACTAGACCAGGACTAGACGAGACTGAGTAGGAAAACGGAAGTTTTTCTATCCCATCAAAATAGGTGGAACAAAAACCGGGAATGTGACAAGGGTGGTAAATTACTACTAAACTACCCATATCAAATTAAAACCTTACAACCTTTCACAATTGTTTCACCCACCGACCTCACTCTCCCCGTCCAGTCTAGTTTAATCCTATTTGCGTACCAAACATACCATATATGTCTCCAAGAAGACTTGAACTCACAACCTAGGGATTACTGAGAGATCTAATACCACTGGGTCAAAGACCACTTGGTAGGGGTGCAACACGAGACATCTCAAACGGTTAGCCATCCTAGTACCAATCGTGCAATGCATGTTATATAGCGAACCTTTAGATAGTTTGGATCGAGGGCTATAGCTAGGCTGCAATCTGCAATAGCGTCTGTGATTTGACCCAAAGCTCTGTAAGCTGCAGCACGGTTGCAAAAACATATTGCTGCAAACGGACGAGATTCAACTTTGCTTGATAAAGCAGCAGTGTAATGCTCGACTGCTTCTGTATGCTTTCCGGATTTATATGCTTCATTTCCTGCTGCCTGCATGCAGAAATAGATATATCAAATTACGACATACAGGGTTCATACCATCTTACTTTGGAGTTCATGGTTGAACGAGCCATTTTTCGGGTTGGAAATCGCCTGAATTCTTTTAGACTCGAGTAGAAGAATGTAACCATACTGAATTACATAGTAAACATATGACCCCCATTGAATATACCATCAAACTTACTATTTGATGACGTGGCATGTCAACGGATCTCATATCTATTTTGTATAACCAACACGCCATATGAGGTATAGGGAAAAGGCCCCAAAAAAATGAGTAACACCTTAATAACCGTTTATCTGTACATTATTCACATATGAATACAAGTAATTGAAGATCCTTTCTGGTTTTTATGCACACGTGCATACTGTATAGATGAATGGCTACTAAGGTGTTTCTCAATTTTTCATTTTTTGCGGTTTTTCCCTAAAGCAAGCCTTACCATCCTATGTAGTCAAATGATAAGTTTGATGGCATATGTGATGAGATGCATATTCAAATGAAAACCATAAATATTTTAAAAACCTTGGAATCAACTATTCATGAACTATTCATGATGAATATTATATTACACATGATGAAGAGTATTATTAATGAAAACACAAGATATCCACGATGAATAATAATCACAAATAATTCATGAAATAGTTAGTTCTCAAGTTTCTTAAAATATTTACCGTTCTCTTATGAACTTCCCCTACGTGGTGGACGCCATATATTTACCTTAAATAAAATGTACAATAACACCAATGTATGATAGTTCATTCTGAAATCAAGGAATTTTAATGCCAAAAATGGTCTTGTATCGCATGTTTTCGACAAAACGAAATAAAGAAAACTTGTGGGCCAAAATCGAAGTCACTAATTTCAAGAAACGATCTCTAACGGACAAAAAAGTAAATTCAAAATTGAAGCCTTACCGGAAAAGAAATTGTGGTATTCTTTTAGGGACGACCCAAAATGGAAAGTGTTAGCAAAAGACGGAAGTAAAAAGTACTTAGAACCATACCTTGCGAGATAAAAGCTCACGTATTGTATCGGCTAAAGGTATTGCTGATTCTTGATTCCTGTCTTCTACCCTGGAATCATTCGCACAAGAATTTCATCTTTTGGTTTTGAAATCCGTTGAATAAGAGCATTAAACGTCCAAATTTCTATTTTAGTTTGTTCCAAAATAAATGTCTCCTTAATTACAAGATAAAGAAATTCATTGCTCCCTCCGTTATTATAGGTAAATTTGTCATTTAGTTAATTAAAAAGTGTAATAATGACACACTTTCAGAACTCCATGTCTTTCTCATTTGGGATATACTGCAAGGGTTTATTGTATTGCATATCCGTAATTGAAGAGAAGGAAAGAAAAATCGACACCTTTGTGTAATATGGCCTGAATTCTCTTGTTTTTTGATAAATTCAAGAGCTTCGTCTAGCATTCCTAAATAGAAGTAGGATGTAACGATCAGGCGTGATCTCCATAGCGTAGAAGAAAAGCTTGTGGGTGTGTCTACTTCAACAGAACTAAGAGTCTGCTCGCACACTTGAATCGCTTGTTTGTACCTCCGCAACTGCAAAATCAGAAAAAAGTACGAAAAGTTTCAGCTTTTCTTTCTGTAGTCATGGTATCTGACATATTTGGCTTAACTGGTAGTTAAATTATGCAAAAGACCCTCTCCACATGAACTGGACAGTTTTTTTAAGTTTTTCGACTACTCCATCCCAAAATCAATGTCCACGATGAAAAAGGTACGCGGTCTTAAAATTTGGAAATATTACATTTTTTTAATTAACTAAATGACAATTTACCCTTAATCGTAAAGGAAATAACGAAATTAAGGGTAGAATTGGAAAGTAGGCACTTGCTTTTGAATATGGACACTTATTTTTAGACAAACTAAAAGCCTAAATAGATATTTCAGACACTACTTTGGGACGGAGGAAGTATTAGGATGGGCATCAAAGAAACAAATAGCACCTACTGGAAATAGAACCAAAAACTTGTGCGATGTAATACTATCTCTGTCCCAAAATAAGTGTCCACGTTTTTATTTTAGTTTGTCCCAAACTAAATGTCCACTTTCAAAAATAAGTACTTATTTTCTGATTCTACCCTTAATTATGAGATGGAGAAATTCATTACTCCCTCTATTATTAAGAGTAACATTTCTAAAAATGTATGCCTTTTTCATCGTGGACATTTACTTTGTGATGGACAGAGTAATAAATGTTAATGCTATTGTGTACGAGTACACAAGTGGACGTCCAAAAGCATCCTACAAATAACACAAACCATGAAAAGAGCTTCCGCTTTTATTTGAAGCAATTTCTCCGAGCAAGGGCTTATCTGCAAGGCTTCATCGATGACACTTAATGCAGATTTTATCTCTTCAGAAGCTTGTCTTTGGGGAAGATCGCTATAATGCTTAATGCAGTCCAACACTTTCTGGATAAGTAAAAGCGGCGAAGACGGTTAAAAATATTGCAGATTAAGACAGCTTTGAGACTAAATAATAAATACAAAGAATATCAAGTTGAAAAAGTTACAGAAATATCTGTGTATCGTGAGATGCTGTTACACATTATGACAACTGAAGTAGAAAGAGAGAGAAAAATGCATTAAAGTGTGGTTTAGTTCCTATTTAGCATAACTAAGATTTTTTTTTCTCAATCGATGTAACCATGTTTCAAATTTCCTATTTAGTATCCAATTTGACCACTGACCTGCTAATCTTGTAACATTTAATGACGTGAATACCCGTTTATGAAAGGGTTACGTGTGAAATGGATGACATCCACATCATCAAATCTTACAGTGTGTCGGAACTAAGGCAAACCTTGTTGCATTTGACCAATATTACATATTCTATTAGATTAATTGCAAAATTTTGGAATGGATGGAGTAAGTATTAGATTTAGAAGAAAATGTGCATTACCTGTGTCTTTTCTAGACCCTCAGAGGCTTCTGCTATTACTTTACCGTCCACACTGTTGTCAGTTCCGGATTGCAAGCACTTCATATATTGCTGTTTTGCATTTTCAGGTTCTCCAATAGCAAGGTAACAACTGCATATATATACAGATATTAACAAACGAAAGCAATGGAATATAAGTTCAAATTGAACAGAAGGTTCAGAGTTCAGCAGTATAAAGCAATGAGTCCCCAATTAAGGGTCATAGTGCCACCCCCACCCCTCGAAAAAAAAGAGGTTAAGGGTTCAAACCTCAAAAGATGTGAGGATTGTGCGTGACTATTTTCCATATATACTTCAAAAGATAAAAATAAAAATAAAACATAAAAAATAAAGAAATGAGTCGCATGCCGTAAAATCATAAAGCAGATTTGTGTTTGATATTGTATGATCGTAGAGGCAAAATATATAATTAATCCTATATAATTTGTTTTTGTTTGATGACACATTAGAAATCCATGCCTGAAATGTGTTGAAATGACCAATATACTCCTCTCTTTAAATCTACAAAAAGTAATACTCATTTAGGTCATCCCTAATGTTATATTCATTTATCTCCACCACCAATGCTAGCTCCTTTGTTAACCGTTTAACCTCCGGTAACAAATGAAGAACATAAAAAAAAATCTTTAGTGATGAAGAAGAATTCCCCATGCACTTCTCCAGCAAAAATCCATAAACAATGAACAATTCCTATCCCCATTTTACTGGTCAATTCTTTCTCCATTTGCTTCTCTTTTCCGACATCCATCACTGAACCTCTGCTGGAGCTAACTGTACCTCTGCCAGTTTATGCTCCTGGTAGTATTTGTCAAACCCCAATTCAGTTTACTTTAATTCAATCCACTTTAGTTCATTCACATGGCAAATGGCCTAACCCAGCTTCCTACGTGATTTTATTAAGAGAAGAAATTACAGAGAGTATATAATGGGCAACAAGCTAAAACCTTAATTTAGTATCTACTTCAAATAGTACGAGCATAAGGACAAAATTAGCTCAATATCTAACACTCACACTCCTAAAAGTTGTGTATCTAACAGTGGGTTTGTCAATATGTTGGCCATCTGATCTCCTGCGCAAAGCCAAACTGGCTCCATAGGTGCGGGTTCATGAGCAGTTTCGACCACCTTTTCTCCTAGTAAATGATGGCTGACCTCTGTATACTTTGTTCAATCATGAAAGATCTCGTTCTGGAAACATGCATAGCTCACTGAACTGAGTTCAAATATCTCATCGGTCTCCTATCTTTTAAGGTCTCTCCATCATCATAAGAAGCACGGCATTCGACAATGGGGATCATATTGGAGTCAGCTATTCAACATTCAAGCATTCCTACTTCAAGATGAAATTACGGACCTAAGCCCCCTTAAAGTGACTCATCTCCTAAGTCCTATCCAGATCTTTGTTGGCTCGGTTCATGCATGTAGATTTTTATGTATTCTTCTAGGGACAACCCAAAATGGAAAGCGTTGGCATTGTCTTTTGGGACAGACTACAGAGGGAGTAAAAAATACCCTTTAAACCATACCTTGTGAGATAAAAACTCACGTATTGTATCAGCTTAGTGATGTATGTAAATATGCTTACTGCCACATATGATTGAATAGGTGGTCTGCACAACCACATCATGGTGGTGGACATGCCTTGCTCTAATATGCCATTCATGATTTATTCCAACCAAACAAAGATAAAAGTGATATAAACAAAAGGAGTGTAATATCCGTCATAGAACCTTAATAAATCAGAATTAATCAATTAGCATGCATTTTTTCATGTGATTAATGACGAGGGAATGAAGCTAAAAATTCAGCAAACAAATAAGTCCATAGAGGAAGTCAAACTTACTGTGCAGCTCGAACTTGAACCTTGAGAAAGTTTGGATCTATGGTGGCAGCCATCAGACAGTCTCCTAATGCTTCTCTCATCCTTCCAAGAGAAATCCTGGTTGCTGAACGATTGCTATAGCACAGCATCAAAGCCCTAAGGCAGCTTCTAGATTGCTCACTTTGAGACACAGAGTTTAACCCTTGTGTGTAACAATCCTCTGCTTTAGCCAGATCACCATTACTGTAAGCTTGGTTTCCCCTGATTCAAATCACCAAGAGTGCTTTCAACTAACATGCCCCCATTAACTGATACATAAAAATGAAATGTAAGACTACAAGTCAGAATCTCATACCTCAATCGCCATTTCTCACAGGCTTCCAGTGCTCTTTTGCTGGAAGATGAAGTTGTGACGATTTTATGCTGAAAATCTTGTTCATTTACTGGTTTTAAGTTATCCTTTTTTTCGCTTGATGATATAGATGAATCAACTTTTTGGCCCTTCCCAGGAGAAAAAATAGAAGAATTCCCTGAAATTGGGAAAAACTCTGCAGAGGATGATGGCACATAAGAGTTTTTGGCATCAGATGTGGAACTGTAAGAATCATGAATAACTTTTAGTGGATGTTTCTTTTTATGCTGACGTGTGTCTGATGGAAATTGACGTGGACTAGATGGAGATGCGGCAAAGGTGAAGCTATCCTTGCTGGTATGATCTGATTTCGAAGCAAAATTAAACACCCGCATGGCAGCACTTTCTTGCCTCCCAGAGGTTGCAGTTGAACTCTCGTCAGAATCTAGTGCCGTAACAAAAGTATCACTACTGAATTCCAGATTTTCAGTTGCAGACTTGAAGCTTTCTGTCGCAGAAACTTCATTAATATGAGACTCAAAAACTTCATCTCTTGCTAAAGAGGGTTTCAAATCACCATCACTAATGTCCAAGCATTGTATGCTGCCAAGCAGGTCTTCATCGGTTGTGACATTTGAGATCATTATATGTGATTCACTTGACACACTATTTTGGTCATCAATTTGTGAACCCTCCTCTGATGTCAAAGAAGTTTCTCTATAACACTTGTCATCTTGTGTTTCATGATACGGAGAAATATCCATTGGCGAGTATGCTTCAGAAATGTCTACATTTTCAGACCAGCTTCTTCCACTAAACCCAAAATCTTCTCTAAACCTTGATTGACCAACAATGGGTTTTTTCGGTTTCCCTTTCTTTTTCTTCGACTTAGTGTCTTTAACAGATTCCTTCTTTGCTTCAAATCTATTCAAGCCAGAAAACATGTTACTCTTCATATCGGGTGTTTTGAATTCTACATGTGGAGCCCCTATATCATCCAATTTGCTTGTAAAAGCAAACTCAGCCATTTTTTCAGATCTTCTAGACGAAGAACGAGATGTTTCTCCATCTCCACTTACTTTAAGCTCACACATCCTATCAGATAATAAATTAGCATAGGCCTCTTCTTCATTGCACTGATTGCCAGTCTTCGTGTTCTGTACGAATACAGAACTTCTGAAATTATCACTTCCAGAATAAATATCCTTGGGATCTTTGAGGTTCATCCTTTTCATCTCATTTTCTAATTCTAAAGCCACATTTGTACCAACAGAATTCATGAATTGGCTTTTCTTTATTGGATCCTCTCCTTGAGAATTCTTTTCTTTATTGTTGATTTCCTTTGGCAGTTCGTCCACCATCGATGGGGTGTCAACACTCTTGTTGTTTTCACTTCCGAAAGCATTGTTACCAGTTGCATCAATCTTCAATCTGGACATATCATCAAGAATGGCATTAACATTAACTCCCGAATATGAACTGGAATTGTTGCCTCTGTTTGCACCAAATAAAAGCGCCTCCTTAGCAACACTTCCAGAACTCAAATTTCCCAAAACCGATTGAGATGAACTCCCAAACTGGTTAAACCCTAGACCACGATCAACACCTGCCACTCGGTTATCCAGGGGATTAGTAGGCTTGTGATTATGAGTAGATGTTTGCTTTCTCACTTTCAGAAGCCGTGGTCGGGAAAGATTCGAACCTGAACTAGTCGCAGCGCCCACGCCAGACTTCCTGGAAGCCGCCAACGGCTGCGAATTAAACCCCAAAACCGGATTCGTTTCGTTGAAATTCGAAAATCCGTTATTCGAATTCGATGACGAAGAGTTCATGTTGTTGTAATGATTACAAAAATCGACGAGAAGACTCAAATGACGAAAACTGACCAGTGGATGAATCTAAAAACGCCGGTGGCAACATCTCCTGCGGGATGGAGGCATCAAATCTGTCGGTTGTTTCTGAATAACTTCTTCCCGATCAACCTTGATGCATTCAGGCATCCAAATAACAGATTTAGTTGTATCCCTGACTTCGATTTGCAAAGAGAATCCTCATTCCATGCTATGTTAATCTGTGTTTGTTCTTGGTTATCCAGAGGAATCTATCGGGCCCTGGGTTCCATCCTCACTGTTTTTCGTGTTCATATGATTCCTCTTTCCTTTGTTCATGGCTGTCCCCATTCAAAAAGATTGGAATTTGGTTTTCCGAGGGGAAATATTTTCTTTTAGCCCCCATACTTTACACCTTTCACAAAATAGTCCTTCAATTTAATTTACAAACCAAATACTCTACAACAAACTAAGGGTTCGTTCACCAAATGCTTACCAGAATAAGTGTTTATCAAGAAAATTCAACACTATCTTTTATTTACCGGTTAAGATTTTAGTCCATCAAGATGGTATTATATGCAACAATTTACCATGTAACCACTAACCGTGGTAAGAGTCGTCTCCATCACTTAACGGGTAAAACTCTTAGTCCTTGCATTCGTTCTTACCGGGTAAGATTATTGGTCTTTGTCATATTCATCCGATACGGTAATGTGACTTAGTAAGAGCTTACCCCTTAGTATTGGCACGTTTGTTAGCAGCTTAATGAGGATCAGAGTTTATTTGAACTAGGGGTGCTTAAAAATCCGACCAACCCGATCAACCCAACCCAAAGCAACATGATGTCTAATCGAGTTGTAAAATTGTCAAACCGTAGGTATTGAGTTGATATTGGGTTACTATTATTTGAACCCAACCCAATCCGATGAACTCGATATCCTTTTATTTATTGGATTTAATATGATTGTTGAATTTCTATTGATATGTACATTAGACAATTTCACTATAATGTATGCTCTTCATATACATATATTTTCAATCTATTTACATCTTCATATAACTCATTTGTATATATGTTCAATAACTGTGAACATACATATGTAAATTGAGAAAAATAACTGAATATGATATACGTAAGAAGTATGGATAAGTTGTATCAAATGGTTGATGATGAAAAATAAATTATGAATAGAGAAATAACATATTATAGGTTAGAAAAATATTTTTAAAATACCAGAGTATCAACCCGACTAACCCGACCAACTTGTACGGGTTGGGTTGGGTTGCACTTTTGGTTCGGGTTGAGTTGGGTTAAGATTTTTCAAACCGCAAGCATTGGGTTGGATTGTTCAAATGTCTTCAACCCGATCAACCCAACCCATGAGCACCTCTAATTCGAACAACCATACATGACTGTTTGGTGGTGGCTTTATGATATAAAAGGTGGTTTATTCACTAAGCTTCTAGGGGAAGCTTTATGTAGAAATACAAGTTTTTTCCAACCTACCTCCCTCGGTTAAAGAATACACTAATTTCATTTATAAAAAAACTCTCCCAAACCAAAAACTTCTAAATCTATACAAAACAAATTAATGTAGACATACAGTTTTATCCATACATGACATGAAGGAAAGTCTCATACACATACGATGGTTAGATATCTTGTTTTATTATTGATTGAAATAACCATTTAACACTTTCATGAAATAATGTAGCAACCTTGATTCTTATGTGTTTAAACCTCACACTTTTAAGTAGGTCTCGAGATCGAATTCAACAAACCCCTCATACGTTCAGTATTGAAGTTGCACCTGTGATTGCAAGATGTAACAAGTGACAATAATCAAATTGAATCTCAAACGTCTTCTGAAAAAATGTTTCCTAGTCGTCCTTAGAGATGTCATCCATTTACGTTGTGGTACGAAACTTGACTTGTGTTTGAATGTGGAACGACATGTCTTACAGACGTTAAAACAAATAATTTTACTGATCTATATTTCATATTTCAAGACCATCTTATATAAATCAGAAGTGAAATCAGACTTCAGATTTCAGCACCTCTTAAAAAATAAACGTCACATAAGCCTTGAATGTACTCTTTGATGGTTGGATCATGGCTAACTTTTATGCTTGTGAATGGTGTAATAAGACATGTTTACGACGACGTTTGTGGCTTAAAATTATTTTTAAGTAATTAGTTATTGACTAAATACATTAATTAAATTATATTTTAACTCCAAAAGTTATAATTTATATGTTGTTGATATTTGCTAAAAGATAAGAAAAGAAAAGCAATATAAGGATTTAAATGGGCCGACCCAATCCATTTGGCCCATTATCATCTAAAAAGTGTCTTATCCGTTTGACCCACCATCATCCAAGGATTTTTATTATTAATTTTGATAAAAATTAAGGAATTATAAAAATATCTATATCTATATCTATACTATATTATAAAACATTTGGCTAAAACTCTTAAAAACTCTTAAACTCTTAAAACTCTTAAACTCGTTCATCCCTATCCGATTTCATCCCATAACTGAATTTGTGTAACTAACTGCAGATAAACACAATCAAATACATGATAAATATCTCATTTTAAATATAAAAAATTTAAAATATAATTAGGATAATCATTGAGT